GTAGCAAAACTAATGCCTATTCCATACGTAAGGCTTCGGTTGTTGATGGCCGCTGTCAAAAGAGACAAATAGTAGAAATTGTAGGCAGAAACAGAATTTCCAAAGAGGCCCTGAGCCAGATTGCGACAGAGGCGCGCAATCGTCTTGTGCAGGGTGAGTGTGAAGAGGCAGTGGCACACTGGGCCAAAGCGGAAGTTTCGAAATGATTGCAAATTTTGCAGAGGATGAAAAGCGCGGCTTTTTTTCTGCGCGTAGTTGGAACAGGACTGTTGTTTTTTTTGCTTGGCTTGTTTTTTTTGTTGCTTTACTTGGAGAAAGAATTGGTGCTTTCGCCCCTTTTTTTATTTATGGGGTGTTTTCGGAAATTTTTGTGAGTGCAGTGCAAGTGCTTGCTTGAGGGGCTTGGACATTGGAGTGTATGTTCGTTTCCGTAGCCATTTGTTTCCGCAGCCCCTTTTTGTGTTTCGACCAACTGCTCCTTTTTCCGATGGCCACCGTAGATGTGCGAGTCATTGGCGAGAGCTCTCCTGGGTCGACCGGAGGGTCGGGCGGCGGCTTTGGCGGCGGCGGCTTTGGTGGTGGCGGCTTTGGTGGTGGCGGCCGCGGCGGCGGCGGACATGGCCGCGGAGATGGGGGCCGGCGCGACATGGATGATGAAGAAGATGAAGAGGAAGACCTGAGCAAGTTTTCTCGCAGAAAGTGCCAAAGGTGCGGGAAGATGGAGTACCTCAGGAAAGGTGGTTGCGCCAATCCTGCCTGCGCAGCTTGGATGTGTTTTTTTTTGGTTTCCCCTAAGAAGAAAGAAACCCTCCAATAAATAAGGGAGAAGTAATGGTTTGTTTTTTTAAACACTTTTTTCCGGGAGTCTGCTGCGCTCCTGTTTTTTTTTTCAAACGGTGCCACTGGCACAGTAAGGAACTGTTTTTCGCGACGCAAGCGAATTGGCAGTATGCGCAGAAGGGTTCCGACTCCGCTCGCAGCTGGAGCGACAGGTCCCAGTACTCCAGCATGTTGCAGCGGAAGTCGAAGGAAAGCAGGCATCGAGACCGTGGCTTTGCGCGCGGCTACAGCACGACTGAGAGGGCGCGGCGGCCTCGTGCAACTGCTGCTGCGGCGGCTGCTGGGACTCATGAGCCTGCAGCTAGTGTGCCTGCAGCTCCTGTGCCTGCAGCTAGTGAGGCTGCATCTTCGGTACCTCCGGGGATTTTAGCCTTGCAGAAGCGCTCGGCTTTCCCTTCACCAGCAGGAGCAAGGGGGCCATGGCACACGCCCTATGCCTTTGTCGCCAGTGGAGAGCCTTGGATGACGTTTTTTATTTTCCCCTGAAGGTATATGAGTGTGTTGTACTGTTTTTGTTTTTCCTTCCAACTTTTTTCGGGGTGTCAGCCACCCTGTTGATATGAGGGTATATGTGCGTATGAATAAACAATATAGTTAGAGCACCCTTAATTTAGGGATATGTCAGTTTCCCGAGGCTACAAGAATCAATACCACTTCTTGGACCCCAACTTCGCTTCTGCATCGCAGCAGTCCCCGGGTGCAAATGGAAATTGGGGTGACATGGCAGCAGTCCATGCTGCCGGCAGTTGGAGGGGATCAGTTTGGCGCTGCTCTGGCTGCTGTGCCGCCGGTCGCTGGTGTTGCCGACATGCTTGCCGCTATGATGGGAGGAGCAGCCAGTGCGCGGCCGGCTTTCCCAGGTTTGCCCGCACCAGCAAATGGACCACCTGCTGTGCCACCAGCTGGGACTGCTGCTGTGACACCAGCTGTGGCTGCAGAGGTGCCTGTGGGAACGGTGCCTGCCGAAGCTGAGCCGGGGGAATCAGAGGCGCCTTCGCGTCGTAGACGCGTAGCTAAGGCAAAAGCCAAGAGGGCTGCAAAGCCTGCTGCCAAGAAGGCTGCGGCCAAAAAGGCTGCGGCCAAAAAGGCTGCTGCTAAGAAAGTCAAGAAGCCTGCCAAGGGCCGCAAAGGATTCTAAGTAGGAAGCTACTGTGCCGCTGACCGCCTCTTGCAGAAAAAAGGTGCGCCTGTTAGAGTCGTGGTGGGTGTCGAATGTGTTGACAGCTAAGTAACTGCGTCGGAGCAGTCGTGCAGTGACTACATGAGAGCTGGTCACGTTCCGGGTTGGAAAAGCATGTTGGATTTCTTTTTGCGGGAGATTTTTTTAACTCCTGTTTTTTTGGTTACCGGTTGGACTGCCTTTTCTATTTTTCGGGAGTGATGTCGCTCCTGTTTGTTTTTTGATGTTTTTTGCGGGGACCAAGAGAATACCTGCTGCCAGCATTTTGATGAGACAAGAATAGAGATCGCGGTAGAAATGTCGCAAGATAGTATGACTTCTGAACAAGAAGCCAGCTTGGCGGAATTGGAAGCGGCTATGGAAGCAGCTATTGCAACACCACCTTCCAGTAGCCACGCAGCCGCTGGACATGGGACCTTGCTGGATTCTCCAAGCACGCCTGAGGAGCTGGCCGTGTGGGAGCCCAAGCGCACCTTCAAGAAGCGTCATGCGCCCGATGATGCTGCTGCCACTCCGGCTCCGCCCAGAGACAATACCCAAGACTTTGGAGAAGTGAAGGTCCTTTGGGTCAACTCTGTTCCCTTTGTGCACTCAAGCAAGACAGGCTTCGTCTATTGCGGGACAGCTGTGATGTCTCGTGAGGGGAGGGGAATAGATTCTTACGTTGACTGTTTCACCTGTTCTTGCAACCTGCTGTACGGACACCAGGATACATGCACGTGCGAATGTCATCTTTTGAAGGATTACTATTTGTCCTACCAACGCGCGCGCAATGCCAAGTCCTGCCGCATCGGCCCTTTGGAGCTGCCAAGCCAACCATCGGATTCCCAGGTTGCTGTAGACTAATTAGAGATTTTGTCCAGAGCTGCGATCGTCTGATCGCAATTTTGATGCTGTCTGCGCCATGCCTGGAAAGATTGAGTTGGACTGCTGCTGCAAGCGGGGAGGTTGAAAATTTCAACCTTGCAGGTTGAAATTTTCAACCTCTTTCCCTTTAAAAGTAAAGCAAACCAGGTTGAAAATTTCAACCTTGCAGGTTGAAATTTTCAACCTTCACCTTTTGTCCTGGGGCTCACATACTTTTAACATAGAAATTTTTGGAGACATGATGGTGGACAGTAGAGCTGATGACTTCCCCCAGGCTATGCCCTTGACCTGAAAGAGCGTCTTGCCATTTCTTGTTCTTCGTGGACATCAAGTGTGGTATGTGATTGCAAGTGTCTTTTTGCAATTGCGACATGTGAGTCATGTTTTGAAACAGTGACAGCACAAGCGTTTTGATTTGCTTTTTCTTACCTGCAAGATATGAGAGACAGAGACAGTTGGTGCGTGGTTTGTCGTTGCTGCTCAGCTGCTTTCGCGCGATGGCTCCGAAGGCGGCGGCCAAGAGTACTGCCACGGTGAAGGCTGCGGCCCAAAAGGCGCGGAAATTGCAGAAAGCAAAGGCATCACCAAAGTCGAAGGCAAAGGCTGTTCCTGACGCCACTGGAGTTGTGGCCGTGCCAGATGCCCAGCCAATCACCAAGGCAGAAAACCAACGGCTACTCAACGTCCTCAAATACCGTGCAGATCCTGGCAAGAACAAGAAGGGTGAGAATTTGGCAGAGGCTCAGAAAGTCTTGCAGGCAGGGTTTGGCAGGGTTTGGCAGGGTTTGACGGTATGATTGGGAGCCCAACTACATTTGAATTTGTTTACGTAGCGTGTTTCACAGCATAGCTTTCCCCTTCATGCCCTCTGTCGACCTCTTCCGCGAAATGCGCGCAGCCGGCTAGACTTACCGCAACTTGGATGAGAGCAAGAAGCAACACTTTCTGCAGAATTTGAAAGCCCACGGCCTGCAGAATTTGACATGGTTTGGACAGTTTGCTGAGACTCGTGAAGAAACCGCCACCACCACCCACAGTGCCACAGAAAGTTTCCTCACTGGGTGCCTTGTTTCTGCTGGATTTGCTTTTTCCGCAGGCTCCTTTTTTGGAATCCCAAGTTCCTTAATGCAAGCAACATGAAAACACACATGGTATATTTATATTCTCATTTTTTTTCGCGGATGTGGGCTCAGGCCAAAAATCTTGGAGATGAATGGCTTGCGCTGGACAGACTATGCCCCGGAGAAGCAGCAGGAATTGTTGGAAGCCTTGCTGGAAGAGAGCGCTGCCACCTACAACTTCCAAAGGGCGACGAAAGACCATGCGATTCCCGAGCTGGTTCGCTACTTCTACAAGGAGCAAGAATCGACTACAACGGCTGCTACCAACAAAGACGCTCGCACTTTCCACATCCATGCTGACATGGACAGCTCCCAAATGTCCAAAGCTTCCAAAGACCAGGTGGAGATCAAGATCGAGAACCCAAAAAAACAGGAATTCGCCACTGCTTTGAAGACAGCCAACCAGGGCATCAAGCGATTGGAGCGTCTCTACAATGATGCTCAGAAGTTGTCAGCCCAGTTGCAAGCTTCTTTGCCAGAGAAGCACAAAGAGTTCCAGAAGCAGTTGGATACATTTTCCAGTTTCTTTACCCAGTTTCGGCTCGTCACCGCGGCTGCCGAGAAGCAAGGCAAGACCGACCTGGCGGAAGATGTCTGCGAGAAAGAGGGTGGCAAGCTGCTTCACTGGTGCGACCAAGCCGCCCAGCATATGGACGAAGTGACGCTGCTGAATAAGCGTGCCAGAGGGTGGATGGCCTAGAAATTTAGAGAACTCAGCTGTACCAGCTGCAATTTTTGTCCATGTCCTTAGAACATTTCGCAATAGCTGCGGATGTCCTGCGCGGAGACCAAAAAAGATCGTGCTGTTGCACTCTGTCTTCCTCCTTTTCCTCCACTTCCGAGACTGCAAGGGTAATTTTGAATTCTGAGAACGCTGGGAGTTGTCGTCGGCATTTTCAAGTTTTGCAGTCAATTTTGAAATTCTTTCGGGAGCTTTGCGCTCCTGTCCACGCGCGCGTTCGTGCTTGCCACGATTCCCCCGCAGCCACGTCATGCATTCTAAGAAGAAGTTGCCCTATGACCCTGGCACTTTGCCACCGGACAAGCGCTTTCGCGCTAATTTGTCTGATTTGTTTCTAAGTGGTGACCTTGCAGCCCAGCGTGCCCATTCCCTGTTTGCAGATGCCAATGCTGCTGGGACACACCATGTCACTGACCTTGCTGGAAACAAAAGACCAGATGGCAATAGCGCGCGTGATTTGCTCCGACGCCTTCGAAAGAGCTCCCACTGGCCACCTTTGTACTGGGCAGATATCCCTGTGTGGTTAGACAAGAAGCAGAAAGAAGAAATCGTGCAAATTCCTTTTCTCTTACCCCACGAAGTTGCCCATGCAATGTTCCAGTGGACAGACATCGGCAATTTTTCCGATTTGGCCCACCTGCCAACGGATGAAAGAGCTTTGCTGGAGACTGGCAAAATACTTCTTAGCCGCGATGTGCCTCTGCTGCCCCTGGGCCTCTGGATGGATGGTGTCCCATGCAATTGGGATCGCTCCCACAGTTTGAACGTCTTGACCATTAGTTTTCCCAGCGCATGTGGCCCTCATAGGAGTGTCCGCATCCCATTGTTTGGCATCAAGCAACACTTTTGCAGCAAGCACAAAACATTTGATGCAGTCTTCGAAGTTATTTGCTGGTCCTTGCGAATGTTGTTTCTGGGTGCCATGCCTTCTTGCCGACATGATGGCCAACCTTTCGCAACTTCTGATGCTGGTCGGAAAAACTGGGCCGAGAAGCCGCTGCAGCGCTGCATGCTGACCCAAGTGCGAGGACGCCCCGCGTTTGCCGTTTTCTTTCTTTAAATATATAATTTGAATACTTTTCCTGTCCTCTTTTTCGGGCAGCCCAACTGCATTCGATTGTTTCTTTGTGCCCTGCGGTGCGAGGAGATTGGAAGATGCTCAAAGATGTTTTCCGCCTACCCCAGCACAATGAGAAGGCTGGCTGCTGCTGGCTTTGCCCAGCTACGCCCGACAACATGAGGGATGCTTCAGCAGCTGCGCCGTGGAGGGTGCCTTGGTGCACGACGGACTTGGTCCAAAGACTGCTAGCCCAAGGCCATCTTTGCAGCCCGCTGTTTTCGCTGCCAGCCTTTACCATCAACATGTTCAAGCTAGATTGGCTTCACATCATGGACTTGGGCGTCGCTGCTGATGTTGCTGGAAATGTTCTTTGGGTATTGCAAGGCAAGATGCCGGGTGCAAATGTGAAGATGCGCGTCAGCAAGCTGTATTTGCAAATTGCCAAATACTACAAAGAAACCGGGGTGCAGGACAAATTGAATACTTTGACTGAAACCATGATTCGAAAGAGCAGCACCACCCCGCCAAAGTTGACAGCTGGGGCTGCCGAGTGCCGCCACCTGATTCCTTGGCTTCTGCAAGCAGCAAAAGAATGTTTGAATCCCAACGATGCTTTCGAGGATACGGTCATCCAGGCCATCTCGTGCTTATCTACCATGTATGACCTTCTCTCCAACTACGCTCGCTCAAAGATGCGGCACGCGGCCGGGCGATTGGCTCTTCTCTTGGCTGCGCTGCGCGACGCTTCTGAGGATCCACTCTGGCGAATGAAACCAAAGGTGCATTTGATGCTGCACTTGGCTGAGAATCTGCACAGCCCCGCTGAGACTTGGACGTATCGAGATGAGGACTACGGCGGCTCCGCTGCCCGTTCCATGCGGTCGCGTGGCGGCACCGACACTCCCAAAGTGGCCGGAGAAAATTTGCTCCAAAAGTTTTGCTGCCGACACGACCTCCCCACTGCTCTCGGCATCGGAAAATGCGATTGCAGCGCTCCTGCTTTTCATTCTTTGTTAGGAGTCGTTTGATTTTTTTCGGGAGATTGCCTTCAGGTATCCTCCTGGCAGCAGAGAGAGATTCATGCTTTGCCTCACCATGTCCTGCCTGTGTCAAATTCAGAGTCATACGTGAAACACTGCCATCATACAAAGAGATAGGAATCTTGGAGAGTTGACAGCTTCCTACCATCGCATTCCTAAGCCGGTCATGCATCTCCACACACATACCATCCACACAATGATAGACTCCCATAAGCCATCTATTCACAAAAAAAAGCCTCTAATTTGAAAAACCTTTAATTAAAGGTTTTTTTCTTAATTAGAGGCTTTTTTTTCAAAAAAACCCTTTAATTAGAGGTTATAACCTCTAATTAAAGGATTAACCCTTAAATTTCATCAAAATTTAAAGGTTTTTTTGAAATTTAAGGTATATTCCTTAATTAGAGGCTTTTCGATGCTCAGGGGTTGGTGCAGGTCAGGTTCTTGCCGAGAATGTGGAGAGAGAGAGTGGCCAGCGCATCATTGGCACAAGGTGGGTTACCAACGAGAAAGAGGAAGCTCAGGAAGGTGTGCGCGCCAGAATCGTCGCCAAAGACTTTGCGAGTGGTCAGTCTGCCAGAAGTATGGGCATCTCTAGCCCAACGCCCAGTATTGAAGCACTCAGGATGGTTCTTGGAGTTGCTTGTGGGGCGTGGAGTGTTGGGAATCAAGCCATGTTTTTGGCAGGTTTGGACGTTTCTCAGGCGTTTATGAACTCACCATTGGAGCGACCAGAAATTCTCCGGATGCCACTATCCATGTCAACCATGAAGGGAGAACCAATTTTTTTATGGGCTGAGAAAGGCATCAACGGTTTGAGAATTGCCTCTCAAGCATGGATCGTTTCCTTTTCATCTATTGTCAAGAGCATTGGAGTAGTTTCAGGTACTGTGGAGCCTTGCTTGTATGTTGGTCGAATGGTTGGCAAAGATCAGGCACCCATCGTCATCATGGCGTACGTCGATGATTTGCTTGTTGCCACCACTTTGGAATCAGCTCTCAAGACCCTCATGACTGCACTATCAGCTCATGTCAAGGTTCGAGAGACTGGCCGCGTTGGTTTGAAAGGGGGACACTTGCGTTTCCTTGGTCGAAGTATCTTTCGAAGGCCAGGCTCATCTGCTTTGTACATGCAGGTGGATCCAACGTACTTGGATGAAGCTTTTGCTGAGTTTGATTTGAAGAAGGGAAGCACAACATTTCCGGATTTGCGTCCCATTCTGGAACAGGAAGGAAGCCAACCATTGTCAGCAGAAGGACATGCACGTTTTCGCAGAGTTCTAGGTCGTTTGTCATGGTATTGCCAAACTCGTCAAGACTTGTTGATTTTGGTCAGCATGCTTGGAACTGGTCAGGCACAACCGTTTGAGACCCATGAAAAATGTTTGCGTGCTGTACTCAGGTACCTTATGACTGACATGGATGTCGCATTGCGTTTTCCATCAGAAGAGCTTGCTTTGCCCGATGTGAAAGGTTTGGAAGTGTACACAGATGCTGGGTTTGCACCCATGAAAAGTACTGGACGTCGTTCTGTTTCAGGTACTTGCTTCATCTTTCAACAGTGTTTGATGAAGTGTTTCAGCAGGCACCAGTCAGCTGTGACGCTCTCCTCCTGTGAGGCTGAGCTTGTTGCATTACAGTCAGGTGTTCAGGAAGAGTGCTGTCACGAAGTGAGAGCACAATCTTTGTAAGAACAGAGCAAAATTTTTAACAACAAATTTTGCAACTCAGGGCAAAACAATTTTTATAAGGGTCACATCTTGCGCAGCGTGTGTTTTTCTGAATAATAATTTTAAATGGACAACTCACACAACCAAAACAAAACAACACAACCTTCCCTTGGATTCACTTCTCATTTTATATTCGTGTTGCATTTTTCGTATCAAGGGTGAGGTAGTGGAGGGTTTTAAAAACCTTTCTTCCACAACCAACTTTTCTTTCGGCGTTAGGGGGTCAATGGACACGAGACAGATTGCTGCACTTACGAATCATCACATCATCTCGCTGTTGTTTTTGATCCTTAGTGAAGTTGCACGTCGACTTGGCGTTCCTATCGTTCTCACACCCGGATCCGACCAGACCTCAGACCCAGAGGCAGGTCAAGCAGAGGTTGATCAGTCTGCTGCAAGTGGTACTGGACCTATTTGTAGCTACGGCTGTGCAGTGCCGGGGTGCCATCAGTGGTGTCGTCACAATCACACGCCTCACTGTAGGCATCGCTGCTTGGATCACAGTTGGGAATAGGATGGTTGTGGAACACAGAGGTTTTCGTGGTAGATGGGCTAGCAGTGCCGCTGCCGTGTCTGCCAGTGACTTGCAAGATGTTGACAGCGTGTGCCCTAGTACAGACCTTGATGGCAATTGGGAACATGTTGAGTTACCTGACACGGAAGACTTGTTTGGCAATTTTGACAACACTGACACTTTGGATTCATCGCTTGAAGCCTTGGACAGTCATGATGTTTTGCCTTTACAGGAGCCACGTTTTATGCATCCGAAGCCTAAGTCTGTTGCAAACAAACCTGAATCTTTGTCAGCTGAGAGCTTAGCGGTCAAACGCGCTGCAGATGAGTTGTCATCGAGACATGTCCATAAGCTGACTTCGGACTTGAAACAGCCTTGGCAGAAAGGACCATTAGCAGGTTTGTTTGCTAGACCGAAACCTTTTTGGGATCGTTTGCAGTCATTTCAACAGTTGCCGTTAGTTGGACTTGCTGACCACATCACTGCAAGCTCAACAGACAGTGCGGTGCCCATGCAGATTCAACACACTGAACTTACAGTGCGGCGCATCAAGTCATCACGTTTGGTGTCATCAACAGACAACTTTCGACATGTTGCACTTGCCAGGTTTAAAACGATGGTTCTTTTAGACCTTGACTGCGCTCGTCTTGGACAGTCCCTGAGGAGCTTTGCAGGTACCCTGTGCTCAGATTCAGAGTTGTCTCAGGTTTTCATGGATGTTTTCTCACCGAAGGCCACAGGAACAATTCTGAAGAGGTGCAATGCGTTGTGGCGTTTTTCATGCTGGCTTCAGGCAAGTGGAGGTGGTTCACCATTCAAACAAGATGAGAGGGTTGTCTACGCTTACATCTGTTATTTGAGGGACTCGGGCGCAGGCCCCACAACACCTTCACAATTTGTTGAAGCCTTGAGGTTTGCAGATGTTTTGATTGGGTTCACATCTTCATCATTGACAGACATGCTCAGCCCAAGGGTGACGGGAGCAGCACATGCTTGCTACATGACCAAGAGGTTCAGGAAACCTGCAGAGGTGCTGAAGGTCGCCGAGATAGCTGCACTGGAGGACATATGTTTGAATGACCCAGAATTGCATCGACGCCTGATTGCTGGACATTTGCTCTTTCGCTTCACTGCCGCGGCAAGATGGCACGATTCAATGTGTGTCATTTCAATGGAGATCTCAACAGCTGGACCTGTCACCCTTCTTGAGGCCATGACTTCCAAGCACAAGTCATCGCGTGGAAAGGAGCAACAAATGGAGCTTCTGCCATTTACTGCGCTGGGCCATGTTACAGTTGAGGACTCATGGGGGGACAGCTGGATGAAGTCACGTGATGCCGCTGACGTTGGATCGTGGAATTACTTCCTGAATTCCTGGTCAGAGAGTGATCACACTTGGATAGACTCCCGCATGTCCACAGCAGAGGCAACTGGTTGGCTTCGTGAATTGTTGGAGCCCCATGTTGGAAGCGACAGAGCCTCATCCCTGACAGTGCATGGATTGAAGGCTACCTTGTTAAGCTGGGCGGCCAAAAGTACCCTTTTTACTGCGGATGAGCAATTGGCATTGGGGCATCATGTCAACGCCCAATACAGATCTGCCATGATCTACTCACGGGACAACCAGATTGGCTTGTGCAAGACGGTTCATGCCATGTTTGCACGCATCAGGGATGGCACCTTTGACCCCGATGCGACCAGGGTCAGCCGTTTGTTCCAGCTGGCTTTTGAGACAGCTCTGGAAAGAGATGGTGGCAGCAGTGACAGCAGCTCCAGTGACTCAGAGGACGCATCCTCAGTGGCTTCATCAAATGGAGAGCACTCCGGCTTGAGTCAGAAGACCACGTACAGGCGCCTGGAGGCTGACGACATTGAAGCAGACCAATGTTTGATAGACAAAAGCTCAAAGGTGATTCACCTGCTTGCCGGAGAGGACGAGAAATTCTGGTGTGGCAGGAGCCCCACGGCTTCTTTCAGCAGGGCCTCAAGGGATGAGATATCAACACCTGAGGTGGTGGTTTGTGCGAGCTGTTCACATGCTTACCGTGCCGCGAGGAGAGACCTTTGAGTTTGCTTTTGGTTTTTGCCCATGCCAATGGAATGCAATGTTGGCGCTTAAGGTGCGACCGATCTGAGAGTGCACACTGCCGAAGTATAAAAGATGTTTGCCTACTAGTGGGTCAGTGAATAAGTTTGAATTGACATTAACATGCGTTTGAGATGCTCTTCCAAGGTTTTCCTAATTGAAGTTTGCGTCATGTTGACAGCCACGGAAATCACGCAAGTCTGGATAGCAAAAACCACTTGGAACCCAATGCCTAGCATGTTCTCGTGCGGCAGAGGAATTATAACCAAGTGTCAAAAGCTTATTCAACTTCGTGGTGCATCCATGGCTCATCAGCAACATGCTGCAAAAGGCAGCAGAAACAAAACCTTGTGAAGCTCCGCAAATCACACCCACTTGATAGACATCTTTTCAAACTGTTCATGAAGTTTTTGAATTTGAATGTGATCAACTAGGAGTACATCAAGCTGACCATTATTTCCTCACACACCGCGCGATTTTGCAACGACGCATGGCCATAGATTCGAAAGTTGCCTTTCAAAATCGGGCATTGGAACTGGGAATTGATCAGACAGAGGTTGATGCGCTTGAGGTTGCAGGTATCAATAGCTATGCAACATATGCGTACTGCAGCACTTACCAACCTGGTCAAAATGATGACACTGCACTGATAGCATTTTTAACCACTACGTTTGGGAATGCACCATCAGCTGCTTCAACCACTCGTTTCAGGCGACTGTTTTTCGAGGCCCATGCTGTTTTTCGAGGCCCATGCACTGTCTTTGGAGGACCTCAAATCCAGGGCCGACAGGTCGGAGTCAAGTGAGGCAAGGATCATTCCACTTGCTGAGAAAATGGATCGAATACGTTTGCAGAAACAGCGTTTGACAGGTCTGAGTTTCACGCCACAGAGCGAGCCTTCTCACTCCCTGATAGATAGAGTTTGTCAACAGTTGGAAGACAATGTAATCACATACATTGAGCTGAATCGATGTTCGTCCAGGCATGACGAGGCCTTGCACTCCAAGATTGACACCTCACTGGCACTTGACAAGAACTATTTCTAACATCGTTAGACATATCTTTACTTTAAATCTGTGAGATCGGAAATTCCCTCAGACTTATTTTATTTCCGTGGCCATGGCTCAAGAAATTTCAAGAACCAAACATTGATTTCTTACATTTGCAGTGAAAATTTTTCTCTTTGGTGCCATGAGAGACAACGGTGATGATGCCTTCGGGGAACCTTTGTCGCGTGTTGATCGACCTGCTCATGTTTCTTCAACTTCTACATCTTCAGTTCCTACAACTTTGATGACCAATCCTATTTCCCCGACTATTGGATCGTCTTTGTCTACTTCGACTCCTCTGGATCTTTTCATGGTCTCTGTTCAACGTGCTTTAGATTCCGGCTTATCCAAAGAGACTTTGATCGCCAATATCTATCTGATCTCAGACGAACGTTCGACAACTGTCCAACCATCCATTAGTGATGAATTCTTCTCACAGTAAATCTCTGATTGATCAATTGGTCTGTCGATTGACTTACATATTCAGAGATATTCTTTGTCTGAGACTCCCTCTTTCCCTCTTTCGATCGATTGATCTCGTCAGTTGACAAACACCAGGGAAATTGAGGATTAACGCGTTTCAAACAAAAAAAGCGATTTGTCACGGCAATTTGCCACTTTCCCTAACCATTTGCATCAATTGTGTTGCACAATCCATTTTCTTTATATCACATACTCACTCATCAAATTCTTAAATTTCTGTCCCGCTGCCATTTGTTGATTTTCTTGACGGCCCAAATCGCAGCACCTTTGTCTTAACGACGTGGCTGTCTCAATTCAGTGAATTTTGCATTGTCTTCGTTCGAAGTGACTCATTCACAATTCTCATCATACAATTGTATTGGTCTCCTTAATTCACTCACACATTCTTGACAGGTTCATGTCCTTGGCTTCTTGATCCCCGACGACCTCCGTCAGGACCGTGTTGCAGTTGCAACTCAAATTCAATTCTTTCTCTATTACCATTTCATTGCCAGTTGGCCATTCAGTTGACATCAATTGATTGCAATCATTTTGGCATTTCAGATTGGAAATCTGAGCGATCGATTGATCACTTTCTCCATCAGCCCCGGCGGCTCAATTCTCCCCACATTCGCTCTTTTGCGCACCTTCATATTGCCATTTTGGGCCATTTGGGCCACTCAATTTGGGCCATTCAATTCTCTGGATTTCAATTTGACTTTTTCTGGACTTCAATTTGGCTTTATCTGCAAATTCGAATTTTTCTTTCTGTGACGATTGTCACTTCAGTGCAGCTGCAATTTACAATTCGCAATCTTTTTGACTGTCAATTCTGGAACTGTCGGCACTTTGCTCTGGCCTACATCTCTGACTTGATCATCTTTTCTCAGAACATCCTCTCGATCTTTGGAAGCGATGTCATCCACTGTGCCCTCACCTTGTACGCCGCCGAACCCTCCAGGGATGCCCCGTCTTGGAAACCAGACGTTGGAGCAGAAACGCAACCATGTCTGGGGGTGGTACGCTACCATGTGTGCGGCCTTCACTTTGCCTTCGCTGCCATTGAGCTTGTCAGAGATCTACTCCGAGGCCACGAGCAGTTTCGCGATACCATCCTGGTTGCAAACTGGCGGAAATGCGCGAACAAGCTGCCAGAAGCTCTATGACTATGAGCTTTCCCAGGGATTGGACTTCCGCCTCAGGTTCAGCATCAATCAGATTGCCGAGAACCTCAGCTGGGTGCGCTCTCAACTGTGGACCATTTCACAGTCCATTCGAGACCTTCTCCGTCACCTTGCAAAGCTTGAGATCCTCATCGCGGTCCTGGATTCATCATTGGAGCGTTTGGAACAGCAGGTGCATCAGCTCCTTTTCCAGCCCATGCAGGCTCGGATCAAGCCAAAGGCTAAGCCTCGTGGTTCTGCCGACAAGGTGCCATCTAAGAAGAGGACATCCAGCTTCAGACAACGCGTCGCCTCCAAGAAGAAGTCGAAGGAGTTGGAAACAATCATGGCCAGGTTGGAGTATCTGGAACAACGTGACGCCCAACACGATATCTTGGGCAGAAAATTCAAAGCCTTCGCAGCCTCCCTCCACGAAGTCGAAGATCAGCTGGACAAACAGGGCATCAAGGTTCGCAGGCTGAATCAGATCTGCCGGAACTCAGAGAGGCTGCTGAGGCAGAATGGCCTTCTGGCCGAAGGGGAGGACATGTCGAAGACCAGCTCCTCTGAAATGGAATGAGAAAAAGAAGGGGCTTGTCGCTGCTCTGTTTCCTTGTGACTTCCGTTTCACGTTGTGATGTTATTTTAACTTTGCATGTTCACTTCCTTTTGTTTCTTGCTTTTCATCCTTACATCGCAGTTGCTTGTTAATCCCTGGCAGGACCTCCTTCTTCGATCTTCTTCGGCTTCGACATCTTCGACACCTTCGTGGAGTCATTGATCAGCCTTCCTTTTCACGTGATTAATTTACAAAACTTCCAATTGGCTTTCATCAATTGATGTCAGTTTTCAATTTGCATCATGCTTGCTTTTAATCTCAATTTCATCTTGCTTGACAGGACCACAATTGTGGCCCTCTGGATCGTCGACCACTTGGTCTGTGCACAATTGTGCAAAAATTCTCTCAACTCAATTTCTTACAACCTCCAATTCTTCTTATTCATCTAGGCTCAATTCCGAAATGGATTCTTCATTCCATATTGAATTTCGCACAGGTCGAGCCACCGTTGAACGCCATGGCTCTCGTCCTGTCTTTCAAATGCCTTGGGAACGAGGAATTTGGAGACGTACTTTCAATCCTCACCCATCCCCCCTCTCAATTCTTAGTCATTCCATTCCTCTCGATTCATTTTCATTTCAGAATCCTTCGTTCCAAATTCTTCCTCAAATCTCTTCTCAAATTCTTCGATCAATTCACATTTCAATTCCAATTTACCTTCTTTCTCAAATGAGGCAATTTCCTCTATCAATTCATCTTCCCCTCCTTTGAATGCTCCTACACAATCTTTCTGGTCCTCTTTCTTTGGTTATTCTGATCTTCAACAAGGACGTTCTGATGGACTTCGTCATCTTGCAATTTCAAGGTTTATATCTATGCTGGCCTCCACCTCAGGAGCAACTTTGTTCATGTCTTCATCAGATCCATGGGACTTACATGACAGTTTTAGCGCTGCATTGTCGATGAAGGCTACAAGTACCATCGTCAAACGATCCATGGATCTTCTTCGTTTCAAATCCTGGTGTGATCTACATGACAAACAGTTCATCCCATTTTCAGAAAATGTTCTCTGGCAGTTTCTTCGTGATTTACAACATTCTGCTAAACCATCTGGTTTACAGTCGATCCTTCAATCAGTGAACTTTGCCATTCACGTTCTCGGATGCCAATATGAAGGAATTTCACTGGCTTCAGTACGAATCAAAGGCATCTGTGCAGGCCACAAGGCTCTTGCCTTACAAATCAAGCATGCACCACCACTCTCAGTCGATCAAATTATTCATTTGGAAACGCTGTGCTGCTCCTCTTGTGATCAGTATTTGAAGCTCCTCTATGGATCTATTTTGATTGCCTTATATGCACGATCTCGATGGAAGGACATACAAGGAGCACATTCCATCGACTTTGACCCAGATTCTTTTGCACCGCAATACATCGAGTTACCATCTCAACATTTCAAAACTGCTGCCATGCTGGCCAAGAAGTTGCACTTTTTACCAATTACGGCTATTGCTTTCTCAATATCCGGACAACCTTGGATTCATCATTACATTCAAGCTCGTCGCCATTTGAAGTTACCAATATCAGGCAAACTTTCCTCACCATTTCTTCCTGTCAAAGCTGATGATCAATTATCCAATGAGCCTGTCACTTCTTCTCAGATTACGAAGTTACTACGAGAACTTTTCCAGAATGATCTTGTTCGTTCACATTCTTTGAAGCATACCTGTTTGAGTTTTGCAGCCAAAAGAGGTCTGGATCCACACATTCGAAAATTATTGGGATATCACCTGGACAGAAGTGAAGTTACCCTGGCAACCTACAGTCGTGATCTTCTTGCAGAACCTCTACGACAACTCAAATTTCTACTTGTAGAGATCCAGACCGGCATCTTTCTTCCAGATTCCACCCGTTCAGGTTACTTCCCAGATACATCAATAGATGAAGCGCCAGCCAAAGCTGACTCAGATGAATTCGTGTTTGAATTTCCGCACCCTGATTCTGAAACTCATCAGGTTGCACCAGATGCTTCAGAACCACAAGATGAAGTCCCTGCTGACACCGAAGAGCTCTGCGGCCACGAGTCGTCATCGTCATCATCTTCATCCTCTTCGTCTTCATTCGTTGACGACGAAGACAAGGTTGATATTGTGCCTGATTTTCCTTCTTCATTACAGAATAAGTGTTTTCAGCATGTGGAGAAATTTCTCCCTGTCAAACACAAACAAACTCATCGTTTACACCTTTTGGTGAATGCTGAACATACAAGATTGATTTGTGGCAGAGCACTTTCACAGACGTATGAACGTCTTGACCATTTCCCTTCACACCCTCTGCCGACATGTGTTCAATGTTTCGCCAGCAAATTAGTTGGCTCATATGACGAATGCTGATCGAAAAAGCAGGTGTGCTTGATCATGATGCATTCTCATGACCTTTGCAATTTTCTTTCCTTTTCTTTTTCATTTCCTTTCTGCAAATTTCCTCTCAAGACTCTCATTCGAACTTTTGATTCTCTGAGCGAATTTTTCTTTCAAACATGGCACTTCTGGATAGCAAAGCCCAATTTTCTGCAAGAGCCAGAGAGATTGGACTCTCTACTCCATGTGTGAATTCCCTTCAAGTACATGGCATCGA